GGGGGGGGGGGGGGGTCATACCACCGTTTATACAAAATTGAGTCCCCTTGGCCCAAGGATGATCCAGACTAAATAAGGATAAAATCCTGTCATTCATACAGAAGAAGGTATTTGAAGTATTTGCTATGTTTCCCCTATTGGGCCCTGCCCTTCTGCCCCAAGGAGAGCCAAACTCACTGTTTATACATGTACTAAATTGAGTCCCTTTTGCCCAAGATCCTCCAGACCAAATTGAAAAGAAATCGGAGAGGATTATCCCAAAATCCCTATGGTAGAAGAAGGATTATAAAGGTTTTACCTCTATTTCTCCTATTGGGCCCTGCCCTTCTGCCCCCTTGGAGACCACACCAACTGCTTGGGGGGGTCAGACACACCATTTATACAAAATTAGTTCCCCTTCACCCAAGAATGCTTCATACCGAATTTGGACAAAATCCTTTCATTCCTACAGAAAAAGGATTTTGAAGAATTTGCTATGTTTCCCCTATTGGGCCCCTCCTCCCTTCTGCCCCCAGGGGGGCCACACTCTCTGTGTATAAGAAATTGAGTCCCTTTTGTCCAAGAATGCTCCATACTAAATGAGGATAAAATCACTTAATCCCTATGATAGAAGAAGGATTATAAAGGTTTTACCTCTATTTCGCTTATTGCACCCCCCACCCCCCTAAGGTCCCAGGGGGGCCACACCGACCGTTTATACAAAATTGGTTCCCCTTTACCCAAGGATGCTCTGCACCAAATATGGATCAAATCCTTTCATTCCTACAGAAGAAGGATTTTAAAGAATAATTTGCTATGTTTCCCCTACTGGGCCCCGCCCCTCAGGCCCCTGGGGGGCCAGACCCATGGTTTAAACAAAATTGGTTCCCCTTCACCCAAGGATGCTTCAGACCAAACTCTTTCATTCCTACAGAATAAGAAGGATTTTAAATAATTTGCTATGTTTCCCCTTTTGGGCCCCACCCCTCGGGCCCCTTGGGAGCCAGACCCAAGGTTTATACAAAATTGGTTTCCCTTCCCCCAAGGATGCTTCAGATCAAATATGGAACAAATCCTTTCATTCCTACAGAAGAAGTATACAACATTTGATCCCCTTCCCCCAAGGATGCTTCTGACCAGATTTGTTTTAAAAGAAAAGTTGATGGACGGATGGATGGACGACGGACGCTGCAGTATGGCATAAGCTAACAAGAGGCCCAATGGGCCTGAATCGCTCACCTGGTATTAATCTCACACTTGTAATCTTAAAAGTGGACTAATATACAGCTACAGGCAAATTATCTGTTCGATCCAATTAAATCTATTAAATGATTTAAACATATGACGCCTGCGACCTTGAAAGTTTATAGCCTTCTGTTCCGGGACATTTCTGGCTAAATATCATTACCCTGGACCTTTTGAATATTCAGAACAAGTCATTTAAAGATTTAAACATATTTGGTCCCTGTGACCTTGAATATGAGCAAAGGTCATTCATTTGAACAAACTTGGTAGCCCTTCATCCCAGCTTGTTTATAATGGCCAAATATCATCATCCAAAGCCTTTTGGTTATTGAGAAGTTGTTTTAAGTTTTTAAACATATTTGACCCCTGTGACCTTGAAAATACTTGGTAGCCCCTTCATCCCAGCATGTTACTGGCCAAATGTCATTAGCCTATGCCTCTTGGATATTCAGGAGAAGTTATTTAAAGGTTTTAAACATATTTGACCCATGTGACCTTGAAAATAGGTGAAGGTCGTTTGTTTGAACAAACTTGGTAGCCCTTCATCTGAGCATAATACTGGTCAAATATCATTGTTCTAGGCCTCTTGGGTATTCAGGAGATTTGTGTAAAGGTTTTAAACATATTTGACCCATGTGGACTTGAAAATGGGTGAAGGTCATTTATTTGAACAAACTTGATAGCCCTTCATTCCAGCATGCTACTGGCCAAATATCATCACCTTGGGAATTTTGGTTATTCAGAAGAAGTTGTTTAAAGTATTTTAACATATTTGACCCCTGTGACCTTGAAAATAAATAAAGGTCATTTATTTGAACAAACTGGGTAGCACTTCATCCCAGTTTGCTTCTGGCCAAATATCATCACCCTAGGCCTTTCGGTTATTAAGAAGAAGTCATTTAAAGTAAAATATTGACATCGGACATACGGACGGACGACGAACGCCGCACCACGGCATAAGCTCACTTGGCACTTTGTGCCAGGTGAGCTAAAAATGTAAGGTCTTTCGGCTGGTTGTACTAGCTGTGGGAAAGTCTAAAGTTAACTGTTGAATACTTCATACAGCTGTATGACAACTTTGTAATTTAATCAAACACTTTGTTGAAGTTCATTTTTTTCCCCAAAAGTCATGTCTTTTTTTGCTGGTATATACAAAAGATGATAACTTTACAAACAATTAACAGATCAATAAAGTTTGTACACATCAGTAACTTCATGATGATTACAAGTAAACACCCCCCTCCCCCAAACTCAACAAGACTAATATTTCCTTACAATCACATGGAACCCTGGTCCTGTATTCATGAAACCATTCTCATGTTCAAGCATAGATTTTGTGCAGAAACCAACTTTCTTGTAACTCGCTTAAATTATGTACCACGGTCAGATAGTCAAATGTGAAGAATTAAATTTTATTAATTAATAAACAGGAAAGAAATTGGGTTTGAGCACAGAATTTCAGTTTGAGTACAAAAACGGTTTCATGAATACCAGTGTTCTCCCCAGAATGTTTTGAAAGAAGCATGGTATTTCAATATTTCTGTTAAAGCAGCACTCTATGTAAAATCAAAGCAGCATGGTAACTTAAGATTTACTATGAATATAAAGCAGAGAAGATCTAGGATAGCAGCATGGCAATAAATTGCATGGTGCCATGCTGCAAAACAGGGAGAACACTGTATACGGACCAAGACTTGCATGACCGCTAAACTTGGGATCCAATAATATGTATAGGACCATCATTCTTTTACAAACTGGTTGAAATAACAAGGCTATCACACCTCATATGATAGATGTTTGCAAAGATCTGTTTAATATCTTAGTACTGAAGTAGTACATAATATACTGGACAAGACTTTATTAGATAAGTAGATCAAAGGCCACAACATTTTTAATATTGTAGTTATAAACACAGGTAAAGTTATAATAAGTGATGGGTAAAGGTGCGAGGTGCTTAATTTCATTTAAATCAAGACACTGTAGTAGTTTAGAAGTAGAGCAGACGAATATGTGTCTACAGACAGACAACTTGTGTCTGCAGATGACTCATTCCTTCACCCCAAAACCTCTGTAACTTCGGCTGTGTTACTATACCCACATGAAGATAAAGCCTCTCTTTCATCAGCAGGTACTTTGTGGAGCTTGCCATCCGTCTTCCTGACGAAACTTCCATCCAGACTTTTGAACTCAAGGTATCTGGTTACGCCAGTATATACCAACAGCTGGACTAGCTTTCCTGTTTAAAAATCAAATCAAATCAAATAAATAGCTGAATTAATTATTTATTTCAGATCATCTATATCTGCATCTACTTAAAATAACTAGATATTTCCCGGTATGCAAATTATTTGCAAGATTGAGTCCTACTAACTAATTATGATATAGATTTATCATTTCAAGCTTGGTCCAGACTAATACAAACTTGATACTCCAGGACTGAGGGGTCACACTCACTTATGCTCCCTGCTCTGCTGGAATATATGTCATGGAAAAATTGAAGGCATACGGCTAGCTATTTGATTGGTCTCAGATAAAAATACCTGACCAATAACTGGGTGGATATGTGTCCTTTGAAGTTTACAGATCTAGAGCATGCCCAGAAACACTCGCATTCAAAGCCAGTGAATTTTACTAATATGCAGCAAAGAGATTGCTTTTATGTACATTACAGGATCAAACTAGTCTTTTTGGCCAATCCACACAAAGAGCCTGTGATTTTGTCATCACATATTCTAGGGGTGCAGAGAACATAAGTGAGAGAAACCCTTGAAGTATCGAGGATGAGACTATTGCAACCATGTTTAAACATGTTTTATTGAAAATATCGTTTTGTAAAGCAGCCTGTATCACTCACCTGTTTTTTTATCTGATATTTTATCTAGCTTTAAAGAATAAAGAAGAAAATGTTTTTGCAAATATATAATAAGACTACAGTGGCCATGAAATTTTTCAAAAAATCAAGTCCAATTTACATCAAAACTTAGTCATGGCAATGAGAAGCACACTTTAAACCTATCGGGTGTAAAAATTGGCTTGGCCAATCACAGGCAAGAATGACCATCTTAAATTTGAGCGAGAATTAATTACATATGATACTTTAAACGATCAGACTCTTTTTCTAACCGAGTTCTGTGAATTTAGTAATATAAGAAATATGTAAAAGCAAAAAAATCACGAACTATGAAATACATTTGGTAGTTAGTTGCTTTGTAGGTTATATTATAAAACTCTGATTTTTGAGAACTCAATACCATATGCAACTGTATATGTTTTTGATCTAGAACTCATCAAAATTTTGAAAAGGATACATGTAATTTTTTGCTTGAAAAAACACCCTTCAAAAATCGTGCAACAATTGTAAAATTCTGAAATCATGAAATATATTTTGTTAAGTTCCTATTCTCTATATTGGATTCCTCTATATTGACCGCCATCGACTTAAAATAGAAGAGGTACTGACCATTGGCCATGAGAAACTTTGGGATGAGGTCAACATTCCAGTCCCGTGGTCGACCATACTTGTCGTCAACTGGAGCAGGTTGTTTGAAGTGATCAAACAGCTGGGAAAGAGGTGTAAGGGAAGCACTTTCGCCTCCGTAATACGTGTTCCTGTCCATATGCAAGACCTTTTTCCCATCTGTGGACATCAAACCACTGAGGATGCATTCCTATGAGTGGGAAAAAGTTGACTTCATTGAAGGGTTACATATCAAACGAAAAAAGAAAACATTTCATAACTGATGATATATATGTGTTTAAACCATGTACATGATTTAGTTTGATAACATTCTGACAACAATTTTTCAAATTGATCACCCTTGTTTCCTATGACCAGTAACTTTTGGTACACACAATTTTGCATACTGATCATCATGCTGCCATCAGTCAGGATGTTTACAGAGTAGAGGGCATGCTCAAATGTTCCTTGATCATTTTTAGAATATAATATAACATAACAATTAATCCGGTCAAAGAAATTGTGTTGCACTATACTCGGTAACAACAATTGTAAACATGTAACTTTTCTCTGGAATATCATGATCATACCATTTATTCTATTGTCAGCTGCCCAGAGTTATTGGAAAAATAATAATCTTGAAATTTTAATTTCAAAATGGGTGTAACATTCATTCAGACTAACAGTAACACTAATATATAACACTGTTCGCACACACACACACATATATATATATGATTAATAGAAATTCATAACGACATTATCTGCCATCTGTTGTCAGATTCTTGCTCAAATATGTCTATTAAATGCCTAACTTATTACCGAACAGTACAATACTGGATTATATGGATACAGCTGCAAGTCTGCACTGTCGCTCGCTGCAGCGACAACAATGATCAAAAACAGCATCAATTGGTATAATGTGTAGTCTATCACTTGTATGCTCAACGGAAATAAACAAGAAAACTTTGTAATGGAATAAAATGTGGTCTTCGGGGGATACAGTAAATATTCAGAAATTACCATAGCTAAAAATCGATTTTCTTAGGAAGTTCATCATGATGATGGAAAAGGTCTGTGTGGTATATTTCAAACACGATCTTTAAATCAGAATGATATCATTTGCAGAGTTACCTTCAAGCCTGTCCCTAAGACGATAACGTCGTATTCCTCATCCATTTTCGTAGTATTTTTCAAGCAAATGTGCTTTTGGATTATTGAACCTCTCAGACACTGCCCCTAACCGGCGACCGAATCACATACAATTATGGTTGCGGAAGGATATCATTACACAAAGACCAGAATCAGACGAATACAACGATTAATGTTGTTTATGGTTGAGTTAAAATGATATAACTAGTTTGCCGTTACTAGGAGGTTTTGTTTTATACTCACAAATTTAACAAGAACAATTATAATTATGATTTGCGACCTAATTATTAATTCAGCGTAGTCACATCCGATGAGGTAATGCACATGTTATGTCTCATTTCCGGCTAAATGAGTTGTCAACGTTAGTTTCGTATACAAATGTCACAGATTGATGAGAAGAATGGTTTCAACAAAAACGGATCTCAAACCAAAGAAATATTTGTGCATATTTGGTCTGACAACATATAATGTGAAACTATTTGACTTATATCCAAGTTTCTAGGCTTTATCTATAAACCAATCAAACCCGTGCGTTCTGTGTCAGCAGACAGCTGGGCCATGAGACACACAGTACACACATACAGATACAGATACATAAGTTATATATATATGCCTTTATATATATATATATGCAATATTGACATTAGAGGGCTTAAAAATGTAAGGGAAACAATCTGATCTTAAGCCATTGCTGATGTTTCGGGAGTAAAAATGGTGTATTGTTTTATTTTTGAGTGGCAAATTAAATTATCAAAACAAATTGTCTTGAGAAAATGTTCTAAACTCTCATGTTCCTGTGTAGTAATTTACATTAAGGGGCGGATCAAAAAGAATATTAAGGACCGTATACGTACCGCTGCAGCCAAAAAGTAGAACTGCGCAACGGAAAATGTTTTTTTCGGCATTGATACAGCTTCGATTAATCTTTTCTTAATTGAAAACTATAATTTGCATGACTTTAATGAATATGAAACAAACAGAATATGATCAACATATATACAACAGCTTTAGTGTACATGTGTGTTAATTCTTGAGTGAAAAGAAATCAATGGGGCTAGATCTAAATTCGATTGTACATTTGTATAAAAATTCGAATACTGGACTTCAAATTGTTATACTATCGCTCTAACCGACCAAGCTACCTCGTCAGCAGAAGCGTCTTGGTAAAACTTTGCTACAGTTATATGTTTAAAACGAAATAACACTAGCTGTACGTTCGAATCTCTACAAACCAAGATATTGGAAAAAATACCTATCTGCTGGATATTATAATAAACCGATCACTTAGTAAGGAAGCGGATGTAAATCAATCAAACAAACAAACACAATTTTCAAGTTGAAAACAACGTAACTATATATGTATAGGCGTGTGTGTGTTGGGGAGGGGCGGAGCGAGTGATAATGAGAAATCTAAAAAAATAAGGTTAGAATCCCATCCCCTTACGATATTATACTTTGAAAAAAATGTGTATTGACGAATAGCTTAATTTAGGGAGAAACAGAAATTAAGAAGTTGTGTGTTTATCGCCGAGCGGAGCGGGACAGACATTTTTTTTTCTTATAATGCCGACTTTTGAGATTGTTGAAAAATATATTGGTCATTTTTAAAACTCGAAAGAAATTTTTGATTGTCAAAAAAATATATATGCTTAAAAGCGGTACTTGGACTCGAAGGAAATAATGCATGGCATAACAGGGACAATTGAAGATAAATACGTGTTTAAGTTATTCCCGAGATCTGCAAAGGCATAGAATCATGATATTTAGCCAGTAAGGTAATTAACTGCCGACATTGCGTGCTCCCAAGTAAGCGACTTCTTCATCATATCCAAGGTCACACGTGTCAAATTTATTTAACGCTCGGACTTCTTCTTCTGAAGAAATGCAATGCATAAGACTCCTATGATATTTGGCCAGAGTAGTTTGTACGGAAGAGCATTAGGGCCATGTAGAAAAAAAAATCGTGTTTTCGTGTTAATAACTCGAAACTTCAATATACTAACTCGAGGTGACCTATGTAGGCCTTCTCCGAAGAACCGAAATGCCTTAATGTACAATGTATGAAATCTTGAATATATAACCATCGTCTGAAGCAACGGTCTCTGGTTAAACAAAAATGAATATCACCCCTCTTCTGGGTATAATATACAGACAAAGGACAGGGGCGTAGCTGGGATATAAATCTTGTGTAGGTACTTGAACAACTGGTAAATGCATACTGTTTAACGTCAAAACTTTTGAAGTTTAAATAACATAAATTGGCTGCAGGTTTACCGGTTCGTTTTATAATTAATTATATTTTTTTTTCATATTATTCCCGACAAGTTATTGGCCAGGAGTGCATCACGTGTCCACCGATAAAAACCGATATTGACTTGGAGCGCGTGTTTTTTGTTGAAGGACTGGGTGTTTCTAAAAATGACTCCAAACAAACGCGTCGTCCCGCTTCCGTAGATTTTTGCTGTGATTTTTTTTCAGATTGCTAACATTACTGTTTTGAAAATAAAAAAAACAACAATTGTAGCCTTTGACTTCGGTCGACCTCAGCCAAAGGCTATAATTGAATGATATACAAATTATACGAACTTACATAACAATTTCTAAAAATGAAGGCGAGATAATGATTTTTATAAAATAATTGTAAAGTAGAATAAAAGGATAGAATAAACACGAATTGTAGCAAAAACATATAAACAAAATTAAACTTCTTATTGGTGGGAGGTTGGTTCCTAACAAAGATAATGCCGAAGTGACACCACAATAACAGATCGACAAAATTAGGGCAAAATATGAACAAAGGCATGGAATGGAGACCATTGAAAAAGGGCAATGAGAATAAGACCAGGAGTTCCGGAAGGGGAAATGTCTTCTGCTTAATCGACGACGCACGGCATGTAAATCTAGGCCATCTCCAAGTTATATTACCTCCTCAAAGTGATAACTAGTAAAATTTGAGGACTTGACTCCTTTTTTGTCCTAATCGCTCATCAATAAGTTACGCCTCGTATGAAAGCGTAAAAAAAGTCGGTCAGAGAAGGGACACAGTTTCTTCCCTTAGGAATGTCTACAGTCCAAAATGGCCCCTACTCTGATTTCAATTTTATGTTTTATGAAATTCTCAAAAAGTCAGAGTTTTTTTCTCCAAAACTGATAATGCTTTGAAGGATCATTTTCGATACAACCAAAATTATGGATCATATGTTACAGCACGGAATTAGATAAGACCCTGCTAGCTAAGTCCGTGGGTACAGTATACATTTACTGACAAATCAAAAGCCGGAAGCCATCTCAAGCCATGATATTTTCCAGACAAAACATGCGTTCATCTTAGAATAAAAGTATCTTAAAACTTTTGTATACCAAATATATTTTGATTGTAGAAGGACTAGGTCATGAACTACCAGTTACAAAAATATCAATCCAAAGTATGTGGTGGAACATATTCATAGAAGGGATCAAATGACCATATGTTCTATACATCAGAATTCATGGCTATGTGTATAGTCTAATCATTATGAATGAATACTGGCAGAAAAATAGACAATATTTGTTCCGGTTTAGATGTAATGATTCAAGACCTGACATATCCGGATTGGCCAGAGTTATCCCGGGGCCGAACTTGCCTCGGCTCCTTGTCCCTTACCCCATATTGAACCCTCCCGCACGGGATCAGCCCTGGTTAGTTTAGATTTAATGAATATTTAATCAACAGAGAACATGTTTGGAAAATATTCTTTAGTGTATTATATTCAAGATGGCCACCAAAACATTCATTCTACTGCCTAATCAGTTGTCAGATTCTCAGACAATGTTCTTGCAATATTTGTTTGTTACTTTTTTTTATATATATATTTATTAAAGTTATACGCCGTATTAACAGCTGATGACATTTACAGATAATGTTTTGCAAGATGCAAGAGTATGATATGTGTAGGGAAGAAACTAATGATGCGAGGCTTTGAGTTTGTTTTCAAACTGGTGATTCTAGATTCACAAGAAAACAACTTATTTCAAGCTTTGTCGGAACTTCTTAGCCATTGGGTGCAACTGTTTTGGATTTTGAAGATTGCTATGATAGCCAAGATAATAAAGTCTACTTGATGTATGAGCACACATTCCCATAGTTCTTTGACCAACTGGGCATTGGCAGTAGTATAATCTTTTATTGGATTGTTATCATTTGATGTAGTGCTGTACTGAATTCAAATATTATATTTAGTCTGGCTTTTATGTCTGGAACAAATCTGACAATATATATTTACCCATATTTCATAATCTTTACGAATTCTGACTTTACTCTCTTGGAGAGAGCTGGTTGTTTTCACCCTTTGAGCCAAACAGTTTGTTTTTGTAAGTAGAAACTTCATTTGATGTGTGAGTTCTTTTGTCTTTTCTGTCAGTTTCCGGTGATCTTTGATAAATTGGTCCCCGTATCCAATTGAGAAATACAGTCACAATCGTCAGCACTTCCTCAATAATATTAATGAATCAATTTGATATTAATTGAGTTCTAAAAAAATATCCACTGCTTAAAACGGCCATGAAAAGACTCCATGGGGAGTTAGTAACTGTTCTGTCAGTGTTAGCCTGTAGAATAGAGTGTTGTCTCTGACCAGTCTTAAGATATGAGGGTATACTTGTATTGATATCAGATACCTCTAACATTAGCAGGACATTTCTAAAAACATGATCAACGACTACAATGTCGTCTTGCTCCAACCATGTGAGTATTTTTCATGTTTTTGTAATGCTTGCATTATTTTGGCTTCTAGAGAATGGTCCCGCTGTGTCCAAAATGAAGCCATCGGGTAGAGCTATGCTCATAAATTTTAGATAATTACGCTCCTTCTGGCCACAGTAAGACATTCTCTGAAGCTTATAATATGGTCAGCACTTCTTTGAATATAAATATATGTTCCATCTATTAGGCAGCCACTTTCTCTCCAAAGAATGCTTCTGAGAATAAAGTATTGTATGAAAGTATCTGTACCCTAAGGACCAAGGAACACTGGAACTATAGATTTATCCAATGCTTGTACTACAGAATGAAAGGTTTTTGAAATACTAGGCAGGGAAAAGGATAACATGCGTACTGGGGTTTAGGTCATTGCCAACAGGATGAAATGAGCATACACGTGATGACGCAGAACACCACAATTTGTGTGTGGAAATTACTGATGCTTGGCACGTTTTTGCAGAAGTGTGGATTTGCTTCCCTTCGAATTCAAATTTTTAAAACAAAGGCAACGTTTTTATGTGAACAGGGCCCGTAAAACAGGTCCTTGCTTGTTAAGAGAGGAAAACTTCTAGTAGTTTCATCCTCAAAACGTTCTGTTTCAGATTCTCTTTTGCGCAGATACAGTACCTTATGTAGCAATTCGGACCAATACTAACTTCTTCATTTGAGCATTCAAAAGCCATTTACATTTAGGTGATTTCGAAAAAATACGATGGCGACCTTCACCAATACATTTACTCTTCATTATGAGATGAATATTAACAAATGAGTAGAAATATCCCCTACAAAGCAATGTAAAAACGAAAGTCTGATGATAAAATTCATAAACAATGATAACAAAATGTATATGAATAAATTCTAAAAAGTGACAAGAAAATTACATTTGATCTCAAAATTGACTGTTAAAAAAGCCTTGATCAATCACGCCAAGTGATGAAATAAATTGGAATTGTTTTTGACCTAACATGCACTGAAAGGTCTATTGTACGCTTGCAACGAATTTCATTACCAATTACCTGTAATCAGGTGCATTGCTTTCTGGTGGACGTCAGGGAGGTGTCATGGGCCCTCACCTTTTTGGGTACACAGGGTACTTTGTTGTGCGAAATGAATACTTTCTACCATATTTTATTTTCGACTGAATTTTTGCATACATGTTTGAAATAAAACCACTTCTTCATACTATGCACATTTTTGGTATAGAAGAATAATAAGAATGAAAAATTCTATATTTTACATTATAATTTTCACAAAATGTTCGATTAAACTCACTTTCTAGATGATAAAGATTCGAAGTTCCTGAGTCTTTCTGTCAAGTTCTGATTTTGATTTGATTTGGTGACAGTTAAAAGATTTCTTTTTAATAGATATATTTCAGTGTTCTCGTTTTTCATCACATTAGCATCCCATGCCAGTGTGTTATACATGTATTTTTAGGTTGAATACGGTAAGTCGAATAGTTATCTCCCCTCTTTCGGTGTTTGTTTTTAAACAAAATGGCGCAGGCACGTAGCCTTCTGTCGCGGTACCGTGGTTGTCTTGCAGGTGCGGTGATCGGAGACTGTGTCGGGGCTGTCTTTGAGGGGGCATGGGCAGACTCCATCGCGATTGTTAAAATTATCAAAGAAGACGAAAAGATCCGTGAAGGTATAACCATAGCTTACGCCTGTTGTAGAGGCACACGTTTGCCTACAACCACTATGTATAACGAAAGTAGAATGGTTTACCGTTAATTGACATCTGTATGGTGTACTGTCTGAACGGAATAACTAAATGGATCCTTTTTGATTTCTTATACATTGTCATTTTATCCTAGAAATTGTGTGAGGCCCCAAGTAAAAATATATACGAACACGGCATATTATTTTCTCCACAAGGGAGGTAACAAGATGCAGTAAACCATCACCTTTCTGTCATTTTTTGTCTTGTATGGTATTGTTGATTGCAAAAAGTATATAGTAGACTAAGTAGATGTATATTTTCGTTAACGGAAATTGTTTCTATTCTTTTGTATGTCAACATAAATGTGACTTTGTGTCAATTGTGTCAAAATGAAAATGTTGTGAAAATATCTCAAAAAGACCTAATCCAGATAGGTTGATACATCTGTTATACATCTTTACCAGCTATATAGCTCAATCTACATGGTGTACTAGACACAATGGAAATTCCTGCTGTTATTTCCTAATGTCTCTTTAAAATTTCCAAATCTCAAAAAGCAAAAACTAAAAATTAAACTTTTTTAATTCTCTGCTTGTATTCAGATGACAATGCAACAGCAACATCTCAACTGAATAATCTTCCTAAATATGTAGTCAGATCTAGTGCAGAACAGTCTCTAATGATGTGAATCTCCACACAGAGTTGTCGTTCTGCTTACACTCACAAACACCTCAGAGTGTTAACGGCTAAATGCCAGGAATCTTGGCAAAGTCTTGAAAATCTTTTTTAGCTAAAGATATTATGTCTTTCAGCAATATTTTACATAATCAATTGATTAAAAACTTCATTTCTCAAAAATATGCCACCGACAACTTTCAACATGATATCGATGGGATTATATTTTTATGCACTATTGTGTAATGTGGCTAGGTATCTATGGTTGCCACATAAACAAAAACATGTTAGCACATGTTGGATTCATGGTGAATGTAAGGGATTATATTATCAAAATTGCAAAAGGAATATGAGCCAGGTTTTTGTTGAGGAGGCCAACAAATCAAAGCACTGGAATATTCTGCTGAATTTACCTGATGATAAAGTGGTCGATCTTGTCCAAAACTGCCATATTGTACGATTAAACATCACATGACCAAGTGTCACATGATTGATGACAGGCTTATTATAATGCAGACTATTTTTTAGCCATTGAAAGAGGTGTTTGTGTGTGTAAGGAACATCAACTCTGGGTAGAGTTTGTGTGTGTAAGGAACATCAACTCGGGTAGAGTTTGTGTGTGTAAGGAACATCAACTCGGGTGGAGTTTGTGTGTGTAAGGAACATCAACTCTGGATAGAGTTTGTGTGTGTAAGAAACATCAACTCGGGTAGAGTTTGTGTGTGTAAGGAACATCAACGCTGGGTAGAGTTTGTGTGTGTAAGGAACATCAACTGTGGATAGAGGTTGTGTGTGTAAGGAACATCAACTCTGGGTAGACTTTGTGTGTGTAAGGAACATCAACTCTGGGTAGAGTTGGTGTGTGTAAGAAACATCAACTCGGGTAGAGTTTGTGTGTGTAAGGAACATCAACTCTGGGTAGAGTTTGTGTGTGTAAGGAACATCAACTCTGGGTAGTGTTTATGTGTGTAAGGAACATCAACTCTAGATAGAGTTTGTGTGTGTAAGAAACATCAACTCTGGATAGAGTTTGTGTGTGTAAGGAACATCAACTGTGGATAGAGTTTGTGTGTGTAAGGAACATCAACTCTGGGTAGAGTTTGTGTGTGTAAGGAACATCAACTCTGGGTAGACTTTGTGTGTGTAAGGAACATCAACTCTGGGTAGAGTTTGTGTGTGGAAGGAACATCAACTCTGGGTAGAGTTTGTGGTGTAAGAAACATCAACTCTGGGTAGTGGGTAGAGTTTGTGTGTGTAAGGAACGTCAACTCTGGGTAGACTTTGCGTGTGTAAGGAACATCAACTCTGGGTAGTGTTTATGTGTGTAAGGAACATCAACTCTGGGTAGACTTTGTGTGTGTAAGGAACATCAACTCTGCGTAGAGTTTGTGTGTGTAAGGAACATCAACGCTGGGTAGAGTTTGTGTGTGTAAGGAACATCTACTCTGGATAGAGTTTGTGTGTGTAAGAGACATCAACTCGGGTAGAGTTTGTGTGTGTAAGGAACATCACCTCTGGGTAGAGTTTGTGTGTGTAAGACACATCAACTCTGGGTAGAGTTTGTGTGGGTAAGGAACATCAGCTCTGGGTAGAGTTTGTGTGTGTAAAGGAACATCAACTCTGGATAGAGTTTTTGTGTGTAAGAAACATCAACTCGGGTAAAGGTTTTGTGTGTAAGAAATATCAAGTCTGGGTTGAGTTTGTGTGTGTAAGAAACATCACCTCTGGATAGAGTTTGTGTGTGTAAGGAACGTCAACTCGGGTAGCGTTTGTGTGTGTAAGAAACATCAACTCGGGGAGAGTTTGTGTGTGTAAGAAATATCAACTCTGGGTTGAGTTTGTGTGTGTAAGAAACATCACCTCTGGATAGAGTTTGTGTGTGTAAGAATCATCAACTCGGGTAGAGTTTGTGTGTGTAAGGAACATCTACTCTGGATAGAGTTTGTGTGTGTAAGAATCATCAACTCGGGTAGAGTTTGTGTGTGTAAAAAATATCAAGTCTGGGTTGAGTTTGTGTGGGTAAGAAACATCAACTCTGGGTAGAGTTTGAGTGTGTAAGAAACATCAACTCTGGGTAGGGTTTGTGTGTGTAAGGAACATCAGCTCTGGGTAGAGTTTGTGTGTGTAAAGGAACATCAACTCTGGATAGAGTTTGGGGGTGTAAGAAACATCAACTCTGGATAGAGTTTGGGTGTGTAAGGAACATCAACTCTCGATAGAGGTTGTGTGTGTAAGGGACATCAACTCTGGGTAGAGTTTGTGTGTGGAAGGAACATCAACTCTGGGTAGAGTTTGTGTCTGTAAGGAACATCAACCCTCGATAGAGTTTGTGTGTGTAAGGAACATTAACTCTGGGTAGAGTTTGTGTGTGTAAAGGAACATCAACTCTGGATAGAGTTTTTGTGTGTAAGAAACATCAACTCGGGTAAAGGTTTTGTGTGTAAGAAATATCAAGTCTGGGTTGCGTTTGTGTGTGTAAGAAACATCAACTCGGGTAGAGTTTGTGTGTGTAAGAAATATCAAGTCTGGGTTGAGTTTGTGTGTGTAAGAAACATCAACTCTGGATAGAGTTTGTGTGTGTAAGGAACGTCAACTCGGGTAGAGTTTGTGTGTGTAAGAAACATCAACTCTGGGTAGAGTTTGTGTGTGTAAGAAACATCAACTCTGGGTAGAGTTTGTGATGATGTTTTTGAATCATTTTTAACATTATGATTGATCATAACCTCAAATAGATTTACTGTGCCTCAATAAATGACCAATTATGTTTGTCAAATGAAAATTGAGTTGTGGACTGTAGATAGATGAAGTATCTAAATAAGGATATATGATAATTCGGATTTCATGGAATTTTCAGCCCCCAACCTGACCTCCATGATGGAAATTTCAAAAAGCTTTGTCCCTGGTTCGTCCATCATCCATCCGTTGTCACTTTTTCTCATCAATAACAGCACAGATCTTTGTAAAATTTCATATGTAGGTTCCCCTAGGCCCTTATGTTTAATTTTGAGACTGATGGGAAAAACAAGATATCCACCAGGCAGCTATCTTGGATTTTAACTGTTTAAGTTTGGTGTTGGTATTGTTTTTCTCAAAGAGACTGCATGATATTTTTTGAAACTGATCAGAAAAACAAAGTGGCTGCCATGTAACCATCTTGAATCTTGAGTTTTGACAGTTCAAGTTTGACACAAATCACTAGATAGTGATAGTTGTAGTGGACAGATTTGTCTCAGATTGTATGAGTTGGTTCCCCTTTGTCCGTTGTTGTGCATGTTTCTTTTGGCGACTGATCAGATAAAAGCTAATGAAGCTTACAATGTGGTCACCAAGATCCCTTATCTGCCCGTAGAGTGGGTGGGGTGGGGGACTACAGGTGTGTACTCCCTCTGTCCAAACAGTATGTCCAGGACATATCTCCTATGATATTTTACCTGCAGTAACCAGATTTGGAATGTAAGAACATCGTAGGATGGTGGAGTGCATAGTACAAGAAGTAGGTCACTGACCTATGGTTTGACCTTTGATCTTAACATTTGAAGAAGTTTGTCTGGTATATCTTCTATACTATACCTATACCTGGCGTAACCAGATTTGGTATGCAAGTACATCTAGAGATGGTGGCATGCAGAGAACAAGAAGTAGGTCATTTTAACTTGCACTTTGACCTTTGACCTTACCCTTTCAAAAACTTTGCCCTGCGCATATCTCCTGCAGTTTTATCAGGATTAACCAAATTTAGTATACAGGTATATGATTTGATGGTTGAGTACAGATAATGAAAGATATATGCTTCGACCTCAGGGTTGTGGCCAGGGGTGGGGTCAGGGGTGTGACCACACCCCCAGGGACCTGTTCCTTGGTCACAACTTTGAAACTGTTGAGATCCCCAACCTTTAGCCATGTATACAATTGCTTGGCATAAACAAACGAATACAGTCATGGTACATTAGACCTGGGGTCATGTCACACCCTTAGGGACTTTGAGACCCTAATCCTATTATAATATATGCATTTGCTAAACATGAAGGCTTGGATACACAAATGCTGCTAAGCTTGGCTCAGGGGACACACCCTATCTGTAACACTTTTTTTGACATACTACTTTTATTGAGGATCTTTTTCCATGATTGCTTAGATATGCAGGTGAGCGATACAGGCCCTCAAGGCCTCTTGTTCAAGCTATTCTTAGTATTTATAATTGAACGGAAATATTTAATTGGGTTGCCCTCAATATGGACTTCTTTGGTAACTATATTAGTCAAGTCGTGATTACTAATGGAACTTATGTCAAATTTAATGACTATGAGGTACAAGTAATTATATAACTAGACATTGACTAAATTGATTAATCGGATAAATTGATTTATTGGAAGACAAATACATTCTAACTTGTATCGAACGTCTGTAGCAGCAGAAAAAAGAAAAAGGGAAAATGAGAATCCTGATGGGGAAGTTTCCAACGGAGAAATATGGACATTTACAGATGATACAGCGATGGCGCGAAGTGTTGCCAAGTCTCTGATTAAACACAATGGATTCAATGCCAGGGACATGGCTCGCAGGTAACTTAATGCAGGCTAGAGACAGGAATAATATATTTCTTTAAATATTTGGAGAATAATACTAAAGCCAAAAAATAAAAAATAAATTGACACAAAATTTGTTAGCATTTACATACAACATCATGTAAATATGTAAAATTTTGATGTCCAGAACATATTTTTGAGATAATACAGTAAAACACTTGGGACAATATTTCTGTATACCTAGGTATAGTTGGTAATAGATTGGTCACAAGGATTTGCAGTAAGATTAAACCGTTTGTTTGGTGTAAGTGTATATATATATATGTATATAAACAATTAAAAAATTAAAAAGTCAGCCTTTTGGTATAAAGTATATCCCACAAATCACTCCAACAAAGTATCATGTTGGCCATAACTTTATATTTTGTATTTCAATTTAAGATTTTCCGAGGAATATTTCAATGAGCGCTTCCGTGGATATGGTGGGTCGGTGACAGTAGTTTTCCAGAAACTACAAGAAACTGAATATGAGAATCCATTTGAACCAGCTAAGAAACAATTTGAGGGGCAAGGTTCCTATGGTAACGGAGGAGCCATGAGAATAGCTCCTGCTGGTCTGTTCGGATATAAAGACAACGACTTTCATAGACTACGGGTAAATTGATGTAAATAGCAAGTTCTTATTACAGCATGTTCCTCTCTCTGTCTTAAATCAAAGCTAAGTGAGGAATTATGTGATAGTAAGGGGGGTCCAAGCTAAATGAGGAATTATGTTATATTAAGTGGTGTCCAAGCTAAATGAGGAATTATGTGCTATTAAGTGGTTTCCAAGCTAAATGAGGAATTATGTGGTATTAAGGGGCGTCCAAGCTAAATGAGGAATTATGTGATATTAAGGGGTGTCCAAGCTAAATGAGGAATTATGTGATATTAAGGGGAATGTAACATTAGCAGCAGTTGTGATGTACACCAGTTTTAGCTTAAAATTGAAGTGTCTGAACTTTAAGGAATCAGATCTTAAATAAGTTCCATATAAGTTCACGTAACCATCCTAGATCAGTGAAATCAGCTCTTCAACATTTGCTTGGTCGATTTTACACTGAGCCAAGTTTTTTGTTTGGTATTGTAAATACTTTTGTAATTTGTGTTATATGTAGCTGTAATTTTGAACTTCAGAAATGAAGAGAAAATTTTCAGAAATTGATGTATTACTAAATATGAATCAATATTGAAGAAATCTTTCAAGGGGTAAAACTTGGTCAGAGTTTCAGCTGTTGAATAGTCGAAAATGGATTTCAACATATATTTGAAGTTGTTGGATTTGAATTGAATGTTTGAGTGAATTTATTCAATTACGAAGTTAAATCTTGGTGAAGTGATGTCATTAAGTTCATTTGACTAAATTTTGTTTACTTTTCGTTTCTGTTGATGATGATGTTAAGGACCTGGCAAAAGATATTACCAACATCACCCATTCCCACTACCAGGCCATACAGGGTGCTGTTCTTCAAGCGTACGCTGTTGACCTTGCGTTGCGAGTTGAAGGTCACCTGGATGCTGATGAATTCCTGAATGATCTCATAAAACAAATGAAACTCATGGAGAAAGAAACAGAGAGATTTACTAAGATGACAAATGAAAAAGTTGCTCGGGACAGAGGCGAAGAAAGGTGTAGTTTGGTTTGTTAAGTATAACTATAGATATTGCTGTAACTCAGGTAATATATGTCAAATTGGAGTATCAATACTTGTGATGGGCTCATGATTTATAACAATCGATTATAATAGATTGGTTTGCCCTTTCGGATTCTGATTATTGATTACAAATTTTATAATCAATATAATTGGTTCATTATTAGCTCACCTGGCCATGGCCCAAAGGGCCAAGTGAACTTATGGTATGGTGTGTTGTCTGAACGACTTCTTCTTAAGAACTAGAGGACCTAGGGCTGTGATATTTTGCCAGCAGATACCTTGGACAGAGTGCTATGAAGTTTCCTCAAATAAATGCCCTGACCTTCTTTCAAGGTCACAGGGGTTAAATATGTAAAAAAAACAAAAAAACTTCTTCTAATTAACCAGGAGGTCAGAGTTATACTACTGGCAAGTAGGTAACTGGCATGAAGTGCTGTCAAGTTTTCTCAAATAAATGACCTTGACCTACTTAAGAGATCATAAATATAAGGGTCAAATGTGTTTATAACCTTCAAAAATCTTCTCCAGAATAACCAGCAGGCCAAGAGTACTGATACTTAGCCAGTAGGTACCTGGGACAGATTGCTATAAAGTTTCCTCCAATAAATGACCTTGACCTACATTCAAGGTTGCAGAGGTAAAAAGTGTTTAAAAACCTTTAAACCTCTTCTTCTGAATAAATAACAAGGAGGCCCAGAGTAACGATATTTGGCCAATAGGTAGCTATAAAAGTTCCTCAGATAAATTGCCTTGACTTATTTTCGAGGTCACATGGGTCAAATATGTAAAAACTTTCAAACAACTTCTTCTAATTAACCAGGAAGTCCAGAGTAATAATACTTGGCCAGTAGGTACCTGAGACAAAGTGCTATAAACTTTCCCCAAATAAATTACCTTGATCTACTTTCACGGTCACAGGGGTCAGATATATAAATATCTTTAAACAACTTTTTCTTCAATACCAGGAGGCCCTGGGTGATGACGTTTGACCAGTATCGTGCTGGGATAGAGTAATTTAAAGTTTCATTTAGTCTGGAACTTTCTTAAGCCAAGGAGACTCAATATATTTCACCATGATTGCTTAAGTATCAGGGTGAGTGACACAGACCCTCTGGGCCTCTCGTTGTTATGAAAGTGTCAAATGAATATATGGTAATATATGCATTGAAAGTCATTCATTCTTATGGAGTTTACTATGTGATTGACAAAACTGCATACAGCTATACAACTCACTTGTATCTCGGGTAAAGCATGTGCGTCTTGCGCTATGTCACATGATACACTTGTACCCTACAAACACGCCACACGTGACCATCACTATAACACAGAGAAGACCGTTACATTGATAAATGCAATAACATTCTAATTCACAAGTTCAAACGAACATAAACTATTCATCAAATTAAACTCAACACACTGTGTTCTGAATACAGCTAACTGTAGCTAGTGCTCTCGGAAACAAATAACGAGCTACAAGCTTGAATACTAATTAATGCCAATGCAATAAAAAATTAAATCTCATGTTTTTTCATGACAGACATTATCTCGACCATATTTGTTACAAAACACGAGTGAACAAATTTCAGCTCATGTAACAAAACACGAGGGAACAAATTTCAGCTCATGTAACAAAACACGAGTGAACAAATTTCAGCTCATGTAACACAGCACAAGTAAACAAGTTGTTTATGGTCGGTTGGAAGTTAATTCTGGTAACCTGAAGTATTAGGATAAGTCTTTGGTCGTCTCTAGCCTTACTCAAGTATTGTCCTTTCTAGGTTATATTTATACCCCATACCCACATAATCCATGTACGAAGATTATAAGTTACCTACAGCCATTATCTATCATAAACCCATCATTAGCAATGTTTTTGGTACATGCAGAGCTGGTCATTAGCCAGTATCTACCATAAGGTCTATAAACCCATCATCATCAATGTTTTTGGTACATGTGTAGGGTACATGCAGAGCTGGTCAGTAGCCAGTATCTACCATAAGGTCTATAAACCCATCATCATCAATG